GCAGTATTGCCTCTAGAACTTGTCGCTGTATTTAAAGTGACATTAAAGGCCAAACATTTCTTTTGCTGCCAATGCAGGCTTACTTTATGTGATGCCTCTTGATGCAAACATCTTCTTCTTTCCACTCATTTCCAACAGTCCCTCCAACGCTGGTGCCGCTCTTTGCTCAGGCGCAGATTCCTATGTCCTCTGTGTCCCATGGAGTCTGTCTGGCGTGTATGCTCCCGGTTGCGTGCATTCACTTACACTGTGTCTCCCCTCCTCTCACCTCCGGTGATATCGACTGCGCATGCACCTGCACACACTTCCCCCTGCATGGCCGTTTGGGAAGCTGGATTCTACAGCCAGGAGCAAGCGGCGCAGACACAGGTACGTTTTTAGCTGTTTGACAACTTGTTTCTTCTTTTAAATGTTTTTGCATATATCTACTGCTTGCTAGCAGTAGACATATGTAAAAAAAAAAAAAACAAGTCTTTAATACTACTTTAAATTATGCTTTGTGATATTTCCCAAACTACTCTTTTGGTCTATTTTCTTTAAATTTTCAGCTTATCTGCTTTCTTAAAGGGGTTATCCAAGCTTGGGTGACTGATCTGTACATGTGTAGACCTAGGTGTACACCTGCAGGATTTCAAGTTTTTTTTCACATGTTTATGTACTTTTTGGTCTTTTATTTGCATACTCTAACAGAGTTGCTATGCTGGGATATAACAAGGAGCTCCCTCCTCATTTATCACTTGACCCTCCCTTTTAGATTGTAAGCCCTCACGAGCAGGGCCCTCCTTACCATCTTGTCTTGATTTGTATTGTGATTGTAATGTCTTTCCTATATTGTAAAGTGCTGCACAAACTGTTGGCGCTGTATAAATCCTGTATAATAATTTGCTGATAGAGAAAAAAATGCTACTTTGTATCTTTAACTATACACTTCAAAATAATTCCCCACAGTCTGTGATTAGGAGGATGTCACTTTTTTTTATTTTTGTTTTGTTTTTACTGATATAAGCTCAATATGAATTCTTTAAAATGCTCAGGGAAAAGGTGCCGAATAATAACAGTAATAATTTAAAAAATAAAACATAACTTCTCTCGACCCTCTTTGCTTTTTCAATCCCCTCCCCCCCCGCCCCTTCCGTTGTCCTTCTCTGTGCTGCTATACCTGCACAATGTTCTATCTCGTTAATTGACGTGAGGGGGAACACGGATCACTACACGCATGATCGACTCCTAGCAGTTGTTCTTATATTTGTTTATAAACACGTACCGGAGTGGCACGATGTGCTTGACTCTGAGAAATGTTGGTTATATACGATGTCACTTATTGTTCATACTTTTTGTTGTACCAGACAGGGTTGCACCAGCCCTACGATGGCTGCCCTTTTGCAACGGGCAGCCCATTCATGCTATAACATCTGTGATACAATTGTTGTACGCCTCTGTGTTTCAATGTATTTTGCATTTACACAATAAAGCTGATTTCTGATTTAAAAATAAATAAATAAAACATAGCTAACATATGTACTGTAACATATGTAGCTATCTTAATCCTTGCAGTGGGGCTACCCCCATAACGCTGGGGTTAAGTGCTCGTTTTTGTCTAGGTTCAAAAGTAAACTTATATTCACCCAAAGCTCCGAACCGGTCAGCTGTCACATGGTTCCCTCCAATCTGTCTCCTCCTCCTCTGCAGCATTGGAATCTTCCTCAGCTGTGTATACAGTGTGTATAGAACACAATGATTTACAGGACTTTAGACGGCTGCAGTGGAGGAGGAGAGACTGGAAGGATTGGTCAATGAACAGGCCAGCTCAAGGCATTGGGTGAGTATAACAAGCAGTTAATCTTTGCAGTGCGGGGGTAGCCCCACTGCAAGGACTTATACAAATTTTCCTGGAGTTTTTCTTTAATTCCGTCCCTACAATTGCATTTTGTGTATTCATCTGGTAGTGACCTGGAGTAAACACTAGATGGAGATGGTGTCATATTAGAGTGACACATTCAACACTTGCTCAGCAACACATTTATGTGTGGGTTAGTGCCATGTAAAGAATGTAAAGGGTTAGGAAAATATTAGCGTTTCAAGTAACAAGTAAAGGCTCGTTGGCACACGTGATTAGGGCTGGATAGAGGATTCCTGCAGCAAGAATCAGTGGATTTCTACTGTTGGAATTAAAGGTGTATATGAACATCTGTGGCTGGGAAGCCTGTACAAAGCAATGACAAGCAAGAGATGCGGCTGTCCACTGCTGTTTGCAAGTATCCACACATCCAGCAGTTAGGGCAGGGGTGGACAAATCAATATTGAAATCAGGAGCCAATCTGTCCTATCCAAGAACCAAGAGGATTTTTTTAGGAGCCAGCTACATTGACAACCACTAAAGAAATCCTTAAAAGTTGGGTGCCAGCTGTAAATGTTATGGAGCATTGGCTCCAGCCCTGAGTTAGGGACACATATCCGATCTTGGACGCAATCTGTCTGCATCCACTGTCAGACATTTGTTCCTAACCACAGGTAACCGCTGGTTGTGCGGATACATGCATACAGGGGCAGATAGCCGCGGCTCATGTCAGCCTGTCGTTGCTCTGTACAGGCTTCCAGACCACAGATGTTCGGCCGTAGGAGTGTATGAGCCCTTAATGTTTTACTTTATTATTCTATTTTCAGAATTAATATAGAAAGGACATTTACCAAAGTCAAATTCACCTTGCAAGTGAATTTTCCTTTAGTTTAGTGAATGAGGTGAAGCTCTGCTGACTTCCATTGTGCAAGCATGAATGCTGTTGTTTTTTTAATTTTCCTAGCACATGATTGGGTATTCTCTGCAAAGTGAATTTTCACCACATTCAATAAGCTAAGGGAAAAGAAAAAATCTATGTGAAAATTCTTTTGAAAAGTGGATAGCCTATTTGCCTTTAGTAAATCAACCCCATACAGTGCTTTAGAGACTACATAGATCACATTCCATCATGTAAGTACCAAGCAATGAATAAGTGTATAATATCTTCTGCAAAACCTTTAAGTTATGGATAGAATAGGGAAGCGATAGAACCCCTGCCAGGTTTCCTTTGCTGTCTGTGTGCTGAGCCTTCCCCTCACTTTGTCTCCTGGAGACACAATGGGGAATGAATGGAAAACTTTCCAAAGTGAGGAATAGTATCCTTTTAGGCAGTTCCCACGAAAACAGGTCTTCCAAATGGAAAACTTCCCCTCTCATCCTATTGTGGTGACAACCATAACATTTTGGAATTCCCCTCACTTTCTGTTTCTATGACAGTGGTCACGAAAACAAATAGAGATGGTGAGCCTCCCCAGCTGGACACAGACCACAATAAAACCAAGACTAAGTTTCTAATTTTTGTCTAAAATGTTGTTATCTTTTTTTATTCCTCACAAATTATTTTTGCTTTACTACAGCATAACCTTAAAATGATGTTGAACCTGTGTTTTTTTTCCATGTAAAGGCACAAGTTCACTTAATTCACTTACCTGATCCCCTGAACCAGCCAGCCCTGACCCCAGCCTGTTTGCTCCTATGCTATCGCTGCAGCAATGAAATGTCTCTTGGCATCCTCACGTCCTATACACAGTGTATAGAACACGATGACTTACAAGACCTGTGACCGCTGCAGCGGAGGGGGAGAGACTCCAGGGACCAGTGAAACAGCAAACAGCCTCTGAGGATCAGGTGAGTATAACTTTTATTTTCCTCCCTAGACCACAACGAGCACTATAATAATAATTTTCCCCAGAGTTCTTCTTTAATCCCTTCACCTCTTCCTACCATTGTGTATGACCTGTACATTTAATATATCTAGTGCATCATTACTAAGCTCTATGTTTTAACCCCCCAATACTCATGTTTCTTCTTTTAACAAAAAAAGTGATCACCTTGGGGTGTCTGTTTTCCCAAAAAGGGGTCATTTCCGTACGTTTTGTAAAGTTCTGGCATTTTTGCTTGATGTTTTATAACAGAAGGAAACAGAAACTGTTTTTTTTTTTTTAAAGTATCATTTTTTTCCCTTTATATAGTAAAGGAAATAGCATTATAACATGCTGGTCCTGAAGTAGTTAACGTTATTTCACTGTAATTGGGTGTTTTTTTGGTTTATTTATTTCCTTTGTAAGTTCCGTCTGCTAATGTTTTTGTACTGTTATATACTTGCATTTCTAATGCTTGTAATCACGCCGTTTAAAAAAATCAATAAAGCTTTGCAAAAAGTATAAAATGGACTTCTAAGTAGTTCATTTTCCATACTTCTATATTCCACTATTGGGCCAGGGCGCCGGAAAACCCAATCTTACCCTGCTTACTGCACTAATGGGATCAAAATAATGTATTACCAACAAGATGCTTTCATGTGAACACATTTATGATAATGTCTGGGATATTTGTTTGTATGCTGGAGGTTAATTACAAGTTAGAGATGTCAGGGCAACCTGGTTCACATTTTGCAATGGCACCCAGAAGAATTTAGCTAGGTTTCTAGGGCCACCCATTCCTACCTTGTACCTCATAATTCTTCACAGTTTCCAAAATATAAATCTATACTGCTATCTTAATTTGTTATAGGTGTCTCTATATTGGCGATGCTCCCAGCATGTTGAAGTCAGTGTTGCTTTTTAATCAGTAATGTATACCTCCAATATAAAATACATCAAACGCATTCTACAACAGTACTAGTGTACATACTGCGCTGCACTTATTGACTTCTGGTTTATTATTTTTCTCAGAGCCGCATGCATACAAAAGAATAATTCAGAGGAGTGGTTCACCTTCTTTGAAAAAGAGGTCACTGCACAAGTCACCTCTTCCAGTGAGATCTGGTCGTAGTTTTATGTTTTGCTAAAAATAATTTGGCATTCAGAAAATATATAATGTTGGGGGGTTTTACGTCATTTTCAGGCCTAAAATGTGGAATATAACATGGGTGCAAAAATGGAAAAAAGGGCCTCAGTCATGAAGGGGTTAAAAGTAAAAATCAGTGCGGGGAAACACTTACCTGGGTCACCTTCTCTGTGACATTCTGTGTTCTCTCAAAGGCGTTACTAGGAGCCACAATCTCAATCTCCGTGGTTGAAGCTGATCGATGCTTTTCTAAGTTGAACTCCACGAAGTTGAGGGTAAACTGAGGTATCTGGCTGATGGTCCTGTATCTCATGAGGTCGGACTCATTGGCGGAGTTTAGGAAGCCTGGCTTCATTTTCGACCTCTCTGAGTAAAAGAAAATATTGTCACAAAATCAGGTCACAATAATGTAACTTAATAGCTTGCTTTTTCCTATTGAGAGTACAGGTACAAATGCATCAGCAACGTAGGATAGTGCAGCAGGTTTGCTTTATTCCCTCTATGGTCAAAAACAAAAAATTGACATGCATTTCTCTACTGAATGTCCTTAGATTTTCTTCCACCCCTAATAGCAGCTCAATCTAGAAGTTTGTAAACTTTTTATTGAAGATGGGATAGGATGTACTTCCCCAGTGCAGTGACACAATTTCACTCAGCCCTATGAATATGCACTTCCTTGGGTCACCTTCTAGCTAAGCCTGTCATCTGAACTACAACTCAACGCCTGAACTTCCCACAATGTAACATTATCATTGCTTTCTGGAAGCAATGCATGAAGGCATATGTAGTCTTTATAAATTGAGACTGCATCACATCAAGTAACAGGTAGGAGACGTAAAGCATACTTGGAATCTATGAAGTTGTTGAAAGTGATGGTCAGATGGAAGGCAGCACTTGCTATATAACAGGGATTTTTTTAAAGTGAGCTTTGATTGCATTATCAAAAACAACTAAAGTATGTATTCCTATTACATGCCGATGTTATAACAAGGTAGTATATGCTGTGACTTTAGGACTCCTTTAAGAATGCCTGAGAGTTCTATCATTAATTCTATTACAGCTTTCTCCTCTGAGATCTGTTTTTAATCGGATCATTAATTAATCTGACAGGCTCAAGATTAGGTCTAATCTAACTGACACCATAGGCTCAGCCATGCCTATCGAAGGTCCGTCTGCAGATCCCCATATAGACTCTTCTATGGTTAATTATGCCGAAAAAGACCTTCTATGTATGTCCCTTTTTGGAAAACGCCCTGTGTGAAGATTAGGAACCTCCTATGCGATTATGACTTCCTCCCAATCATTTGGGGTAGTACTTTCCCCTGGATATATTTCCTAGATAATAGGTTTCTACCGTCTGGAGAATTTCCAGTCCTTCACCTTATTGGCCATTTTCTCACCCTGGTGAATAATGTCTTTACATTTAAGGATTTCGCTGATGTTCAGTTAGATTCCTTGCTTAAGTCCAAGTTTCATCTAGCTGGAACTACAGAATTCCCCGAGCTGGAGACCTGTTTTTCCAGAGGTCCTCATGGATTGTATTTGGATGTCCCACACATCTATTATGTACTATATTCCTGTGTCCCCAATGGACAATAAAGAAAATAGGATTTTTGTATTTGTAATTCTTATTTTATCAGTGCAACCTACAACAATGCTGGTCAATTAATATGAGCAATGCCACTATTTTCCAGCAGCCCTTTGTTATAGATGAGTCTAAATGGCCCTTAAAATAGGTACACCAGACCAATATTTTCAAATTAAATGCCAGTCAGTCCTGTAAAGTATTGTACTCTATTTTATAGCCTGAAGATGTCACTGTGTTAGTGCTTTATAGCTAGCTGTTGGCCATAGGCTTTTTATAGCAATCACACAATAATACAAGAAGACACTTATTTTTTTTTTTCCATCAAAACAAAACTTATATCCGGCCTACTTCAGTGATCCTGTCTGAAAAGGAACAGAAAGAGCTATAGTTGGCAACAAAACACTGAACCATCATCTCCGAATGCACGAATATCCAGGTGGTAGATATTCAAAACCTAATGCCCCGACAGACAGATTACAATATTATTTATCATATGTGTTCTATATCAACTGATTGCATTGCCCACAGCAAAAAAAAAAATGTAATCTTTTGAACACCGTCAAATTGGAAGAATGTAATTGTTGTGGGAAGGGCAGTTTTGTTTTTACTAAGTATACATTTATAATGGCATCAGTTAGGACACCTGCATAAACTTGCATTCCTATGTTGTGTTAGTGGAATGGCAGTTCTATACCTCCCCCTAAACTATATCATATGAACGCAGGTTTATGCACCAGTAGTGACATCTTGATATAAAATAAGATGGCCTGATAGAAGACTGGAGAGACTTACTGATGCCACAGGTTAAAGAGGAACTTTACCCACCAATTTAATGTCTCCCAAAACAGTTTTTTTTTATAGCATGCCAACTGTCAAGGTTGCCAGTGTTCTTATTTTAGCTCTCAACTGAACTTTTAAGCCCTCAAATGTCTGCTGTCCTAGCTGATCACATGTGTTGAGCCATGGCAACTGCAATCCAAATAGTGGCTAAGATGGCACATTCCTTGGCTGTAAGGGATAGGAGGTTGTAGTTCTGCTTTAGGTATATTCATCAAATATTGCCTATCATTAAAAATGTATTGAACAGAAATCTCCCTGATCGAGGCCAATTTTTATAACAGAGGAGCTCAGGCATGCACATAAACCTGACAATGAATGCTAAAGCTCTATAGTGTAAAAGTCTGTTGTGTTGGGACTGCTTTGGGTATTGTGTCCATGTGACAACCTTTCTGAATGGTTTAGATGTAAAAACATGACTGTAGAGTGTGTATACTCTCTACTTATAAGCGAATGGTCATTTTTTTATAGCAGTTGGAGCAATAGAAAACCAGCGGTGTTGACCAGGCCCAGCAGTAGCAAATACGGTAACATGTCTCCATCTTAATCTGAGGACAAACACCCAAGGTGGCCTTTATTCTGTATGCCTTGGCCCAGCGCAAACACATAATTTCAGAGGATACTGGAATGAGCATTGTCTGGGTATGCTGGGCAATAAGAGCTAGGATAAGGACCAAACTTCTATTGCCGGTGGCGATGGTGGTGGTATCTGAGTGATGCCAGTTTTTCTGCACTGTGTTCTCTTTAACACAGTGAAAACGCAACACCCATATTGATGTGTGATAACTCATGACTTTCTTGAGCAAAGTTATGGTAAGTGTAGCTAGATTTTCTGTTCCAGCTAGATTAAAAGTATAAAACCTGCAGGACATGCTGCAATCACCCACCTGAATTGAAGGCAGCTCGTGTCAACCTCTGATGTAGTGTTTTGTTGGCCTTTCTTGCCAGAAGCAGTGCCAGATCTTCAAAGTTTAGTATAAACATAATGACGTCTCCCTCCTCGTTCTTCACTGGCACAACATCGACCAAGCAGCGCATACAGGTACCTGTGGGGGATAGGTAGGGTTTATAACAGAGTGTAAGCATGCACAAAATAAATATATACAATGCAGGACATGTTAAAGTAAACTTCAATCATCCATGAAAAATTTGCATCCTTGCATTCATCTTGTGCAGATGGCTGTCTCAATGACCACATTTCTATAGCTGCCTTTTAATTAATGAGCCCAAATCCAAGCCTGCAAAAAGGTGGGCATGGTGTACTAAAGATGGCATTACAGAACCTATGGAATAATATGTAGCTGCATTGTAAGTATCAGAATAAGATACTCAAAAGATTTCAATTTAAAATTTTAAAAACACTTAATAGCTATGAAGACATACTTGCATGCCAACTGGAAAAAAATGTTTGGCCTTGAAATGTTGTATGGTCTAACAGATGCAATTTGTTATATGCAAGCAGTAAACTGAAATGTGGAATTTCACAAGCATACTCCGAGCCTTCCAGGCTACATGCAGACTGGTGTTTACAACCTGCCGGAGTGCCGTCTGTTACCACCTCAGTTTGAAGGAACTGAGATTCCTTACACATCCTGAAGGCTTCATTAAACCATCAGGCAGCACACCCACTCATTATGGAGTCTGCCAAACAGTAGCTGATGCAAGTGAAAAGGACTTGCTTCCCCTTGGTGGACTATAAGTCCTTCAGGCAGCTGGGGCCTAAAGCACAAAGAATGCAGGCAAGGGCTAGGAGGGCTGTCATACAGGCATTGAGAGTTGCCAATCCAGTTAATTTTAGCACGTTCAGGTGACACAGGTTATATCTATAGTTGCCAGCAGATACCAACAACTGAGCTTTTTGGGGGAATCTTTTTTGTTTTGTTTGCTTCTTCAGAGGGCCAGGGACATATGTTATCTTCCTTCCATTGATTAAACATTCATATGACAGAAATTAAAATGTTCATGTCACAATTGACTGAATAAATGATTGTTCAGTAGTTGAACCATGCCTGCATATCTGACCACCATTTTACATCCATGGCTAGCTTAAAGCTGAACTCCAGGGGTGAATATTTATATTCAGGGACAGTCCCTTGAAATGAGGGACAGTTGGGACGTATGGAACAGGTGGAACTTTGAACCCCCTCCCCACTCAGTTTTGATAGAGATTACACTACATTTGATGAAGAATACTGTTATATTTTGACTAGGTGTAAGCTGATACGCACCCATAGAATCCATAAAGGAGATACAACATCCAGCACTGGAAATCTAACCAAACTTATCAGGAACATATTGTGATATGTTGCTGAAAAACAAGCCTGTATGTCACTGTTGTAATAGCTGCACACATTATAAAAAAAAAACAAAACCAAACTGTAAACTGTTGGCTTGGTTTATCTCTAAAATGAAAATTGCATCAAGGCCACAAGCTCGTTATGACTGTGGATACCTTTTAGCACCAGTTCCTGGTGATTGATAAAATGAAGTCTTATCAGTCTTATCAGTACCAGTATTGGTACTGTCAACAAGATGGCTATCTTCACAATGTCTAGGTGACTAGTGCTTCTTGTAATGTATGTCATGGGCTACATCTGTGCTATGTGATATCATTTTATTTATTAACAAACAAATCCTGAGTCCTTTCACTGCAGACAGTAATGATTGCAGAGCATGTTCTGTGTTTGTTGTGCCAATATTTATAAATGGCCTTCATATCCCTGAGCATAATACTGTGATACTAACAGTTCTCACCTAAAATCAACCAATTAGAATGTACGAAATTAGCAATAAACATACACTGTGTATTCTTTGGAAAAGAACATTGTAATTTTGCTCCATACCACATCAATAATTACGCAGCTCAAACATTCACTTTCAGCCCTGTCTGTTTGAGCAATGCTGATGTAATTAATAGTCTGAAAGAGGCAAGAATTGCCTGAGGGCATTGCCCAGGCTCCCTAATGACGAGCCTAGAAAATACCAATTATATACTAGATCAAATAAGTGCACACAGAATCAGTACCGATTAATTCCACGGGAACAAAGGTGTAAGAATAGCCATAGCATCTCACGTGGCTGCTATGGAGCCTGGGGTTGGAGGGGGGCCACATTAAGTAGGAGGCTATTTAGAAAAACTAAACTTTGAATTTTGTAGTATATAGAGGGTCTGAAATCAGATTGCCACAAGTGACAGATCCCCTTTGAGCAATAATATATGGTCTATTTATGAAAAGTCTGTATAGCTTATCATCCAGCAAAACTGCATGTGCATTTGTTCTTTAAGAAATAACTAGCTGCTGTGAGAATTCAGCCAAAATGACCGTTCTTGCACCGTGCATTGGTGCTGGTCTGAGGTCTTATGTGCGTTCTGTCATTTAGCTCACTTTCCAAATCACCGATGTTGGACTAGATTTTTAAACTTTCCTACCTATTCCCCTCCAGTTTTGAGAAATTCCCCTCACTGTATTTATACCTGTCCATCTGTTACTGTTACTCTTACTGTTTCTGACTCACATATTGATTAAATATCTTCATCCTTCTGCATATTCATTACCTCTATGTCCATGATTCATTTACAGAATCAGAGACAGATAAATATCTTAACACAGATATATACCAGCTCTATGGCAGGACTTCTCCTGGCTTAAGGTACAGTCTACATTTTGTTTATAGTTTGAAAAGTTTATACAGTATGGTTTGGCCTTCCTCTTCAATCATTTATGTCTGTATGAGTTTAGTCTGCAAGGTCCTTAGACATTTCCTGTTGGACTCAGTATTTTAATGTGTGTATGCTTATTGTGTATTCTTCAATAATTCTGCAATAATGTTCCAATGAATAAAAGAAAAATGATAATTACACCCCCCACTCCACAACAAAAATGATTTTGGTTAAGCACCAGAGCTTCAGCACTACAAGATCCTGGCACTGCCAAGAAAATGTTCAGTGTGGTATACTTCAGGCCTGTGTACATGAATTTATGTTCAGGTTAGAACTCTTTTTCAAATGCAAAAGCAGCTTGAGGCAGCTTGGAAGGAGCTAAAATGCAGGTCAGAAGTGCCTGTGCATTGCCTCAAGTGGAACTTAGAAGCGTCTTAGCTTTCTGGTTCCTACAGCCAATGCCCCTGAGCGTATCGTCGCATGCACATGTGGTTGATTGCCCCGCAGCTTCCTGGGATGCCTGACATAAGTATCCTATGAGGCTGCAGGCAACATTTGATACATCATTCTAGACTAGGCCAGAATTCAGAAGTAAAGGGAAGCAGGGCATTAGAAAAAGTATTTACATAAACAATTTAATTGGGTGAAAGAAAAGGGGAGGAAACATGGATTTCATGGAAAGTGGTTGAAGAGGATCCCTAGTACAGTAAATATTCACTATTAAATAGTCATAAGTTATTGGATGGGTAGGGGCTTAAGGCGATAGCTTATGGGTTAGGTGTTGTCAGGGTCAACAGTTAAAGTCATAGTTTAGAGGTTAAAGTGTTATGTCCAGCCAAAACTTTTCTTTAGCTTTTAATAGATTAGTGAAGCATTGAAACCATTAGAAAGACTTCCCCCCACTAAGTCCTAGGGATGCAAGAATACCATTTTTTCCAGGCTAAGTTCGAGTACCGATAATTTTCCTCAAGTACTAACCGATACCAATTACCGATATCTTTTTTTAGTGTCATGACACAGTTTTTCAAAAACAGTACAGACTAATAATTTTAGGACAGTGGAGGAGTGCCAGGGCTCAGTTGCAGCTGCAACCTCTGCGACCTTGACAGTTCTGCCACTTACTCCAAGCTGTAGATTGCAATCCTCAGCATTACATTATACAGCAATGCAGAATACCACCAGCTATAGAGGACTACAGATTCCAGCAATACATTATACAGTAATGCAGAATACCACCAGCTATAGATGACTATAAACCCTAGCAATACATTATACAGCAATGCAGAATACCACCAGCTATAGAGGACTACAGATCCCAGCAATACATTATACAGTAAAGCAGACTACCACCAGCTATAGATTGCTATAAACCCTAGCAATACATTATACAGCAATGCAGAATAAAACTGTCAGCTATAGAGGACTACAAATCAGTCAGATAACATGGTACCATGGCTGGAATGCTCTGCTGTCAGATAACATGGTATGAGGGCTGGGATGAGGAGGAATTCTCTCTAGTCAGATAACATGGTAACGTGGCTGGGATGAAGAGGAATGATCTGCAGATCTCAGGACATGATACAATGTAGCAGTGCAAGAGCAGAACTGCTGTACCCAGAGCAATGCAGGATGTACCCGGGGGAGCCCCCATCTCTGCCCTCCCCCTCGATCTCTGCCCCCCCGTATTATACCTTCCCCAGAAGGGGCTGCATGGTTCCACTGTCAGGGTGCAGCCTCCTCCTCCCCCCCTGGTGGGTCCCAGGGCTTTGTGTCAGTGCTGGAGTCTTAGGAGGGGAGAGGTGTGGCCGGCGCTGTAAAGAGCCAAATCTATGAAAAAATGTAAAGACCCGGTATCGGTTTTTATTATTGCGGCATTCTAACGAACAAGTACTCATGAAAATGCCTTTTGCGTGTTTTGCAAATTTTTATGCGTTAGACGCACGTCTGAGGTCTGCCGTGCATTGGTTCTGGTCTGCGCTCTGCCGTGCATTGGTGCTGATCTGAGGTCTTATGTGTGTTCTGTCATTTAGCTCACTTTCCAAATCACCGATATTGAACTAGATTTTTAAACTCTCCTACCTATTCCCCTGCAGTTCACCTTTTAGTGAATCGTTTTGCTATTTTGAAAATAATGGGAGAAATAATTTCTGTAACACAAGAATGCTCAAGCGGGTGAGGCTTGTGGATGGGTGGGGCTTGTATCTGGGTGGAGCACAAGGGGGCCCCATAATTTTGTATTGCTCGGGGGCCCCATGTGTTCTCAGTGTGCCTCTGGGGGCAGGCACCTTTACATCACAAATTGTAATTTCACATTTGTAAAGGACCTCTAACTAGAGAAACTCAGCTACTGTCTACTTCTATATCAATGTAAGGACCTTTCTGTCC